CGTCCTGGGACATCCAAATCCCCTATTTTTTTCCCCTGAAAGTTTGGGAGTTAATCCTCCAAAACCGTCAGTTTTTTTGGGAGTCAAATATACAAAAAAATAGAAATATTTTGGGGGTTTTGGGATTCAAACCTCCAACAACAGTGGGCCAGTTACACTAACCGTAGTGTTAGTGCAGCGTAGTGTTAGCTTTTTAAGCTACGCTACACAAAAGTTACCGTTAGCGTGAATTTTTGGCCCACTAACACTACAGGATTTTTGAAAAAGCAAAAAAAACTTTAGCGTAGTGTTAGCTACCTTTAAAAAGGCACAACTAACACTACCCAAAATCCTGTTAGTGAAATTTTAGTGGTGTTAGTGGGTGAACCCACTACACTACATGTTAGTGTAACTTTTTGCAAAGTTACACTAACAGTTAGTGTAGTGGTACCCTCAGTTACACTAACTGTCAGCGTAACTGGTGAAAAAGTTACACTAACTGTTAGCGTAACTGATTAAAAGTTACATGACTACATGACTAGCATTAGTATACCCTGAAGACAGTGCCTGATTGGGGGGCCTACATCCAGATCCCCTCAATTGATCATCATTTTTTTCAGTTGGTAATGGGGGCCACTCAATTTTATCCCCCTGCCAATTTTTAACACTTACTTGCAAGACCACATTCCCTTGTCAGACTACCTTGAGATTATGGGTTCAATTCCCCCTCAGACCATACTTTACTGGGTTCCATTCCCACACTTGTTCAATTTCCACTTTCACATCATGTAGCAAGGGGGGGGGGAGGTTGAGGTGTAACCATGATGTATTGCCAGAGTGTGGTGGAGCTGTTGGCATGAACCATGGCAACTACCACCCAAATAACCTTACAACCACAAGGGTCTGTAGCCTAGTTGGTAAAGGAAGCACTCTGGTATGTGACTCAGCATTGCTGAGGTTGTGAGTTCAAATCTCACCAGGCACATCCTCCGTTTGTTTGTCTCTGCATCTTGTGCTGTTCATTTTCTGCGGGATTGTGTGTGATCATAGGACATTGAAAATTGTCACTATGGACCTCGACTGTATCAGTTATATGGACAGTTCACACAACTTGTCCATTGGAAACAGAAAGCAGAGGAAGAGGGTTCAAGAGCATAAATTCTCACTTGACATGTCAATTTCTCTAATTGATGATTTACACTACACTACATGTGTAGTGTAACTTCTACTGTAGCGTAGCGTAACTAGGCATGTAGTGTAGTGTAGTGTAGCTTAATTTGGTATAAGTTACACTAAATGTTAGCTTCAAATCAGTTACACTATCTGACAGTCAAAATTTTGTTAGCGCAAAAAAAGTTACACTAACTGTTAGTTTAGCTGAGATTATTTGAAGCTAACACTACCAAAAAATTTGAGAGAAAAATTTACACTACACGAACAGTTAGCGTAGTGGGGCTTAGCGTCAGCTAACACTACAGAATTTCCAGGAAATAAAAAGGCCACTACACTAACAGTTAGTGGTCAAATAGCGTAGTGTAGCGTAGCGGCCCACTGTTGCCTCCAAAGCCCCACTGGTGTTTGGAAGTCGCAGCCCCAATTCCAACTCCAGCCCAGCCAGACCATCATAAAGGCTCAGATAACAAGCTCGTGGACTTCTCAAAGAAGGAGATCCCAGATTGAATCAATTATGATAGAGAACAAGTTCATTGTCCCAACCGGCTCACCCATTTCCTTTTTTTTTCTCCAGGAACTGAATGAAAAGATGGCATGATGAGCAGCTGTCAGCTCTGGTCTCTTATGTGACCAAGAGTTGATGGGATAATGGGTCACACTATAGCCAAAGAGTGGCCAGTGGAAATAAGCCCAACTCAACACTTGTAAAGTGGAGGGGCTAGCTCCTTCTAAGAATAAGGGACAACTGTGGGATGAGCTTCACAGTGCCTGAGCTTTTGAGAATATAAGAGAAATGATTTTTGTACTAGTCTTATAAGTTAAATATGTAACTTATAAGGCTAGTAAGAGGATGAAGAGAAATGTAATAACTAGAGTACAATAGTTTACTGTGAAAACCCCACTCACTAAGTTGTTTGTAATAACTAGTAAGGCACTTGGGTTTGTATGATAATAATGTCTGGGGAAGGAATCCTAGAGGGAAAGCCTTCTTCTTAAATATTACAGAGCAGGGGTCAATCTGCTGCTGGGACCGGTGCAGTCCCCTTATTGGTACACTTTTCCTTGGGGGAAAGTGTCAGGATATTCAGAGCATGCTAAATGTACATGTGCTGAATATCATTTATTTCAGAAAATACACATGAGAGAGATAAACATAATAATCATACACACAAGAGAGGTAAATAGGATAATCATCTCTTGGATACACCCAGGAGATAATTATCCTTTTCAACTTCATTATAATTTTCATGGAAGAGGTAAATCTTTATTAATTTACAGAATAATTATTAACATAAAAAATACATGTAAAAAGGGATAACACTACTTTATAATTATTAACTTAAAGATTACATAAAATAATAATTGTTATGTAACCCAAGGGGGTTACATTCTGTTGTAGACACCTGGGCTAGTTTCTCAGTGTCTGACAGCAGCACAAGCGGCTTTGCAAGCAAATCTGGTTCCTCCCGATCCCCTTACTTGCGACTCTCTCGCCGCAGCCAAAACTGAATCCGCATCCGGCAACAACCTACACCTACCATCACTCGGTGACGCTCCTACGCTCCTTCACACCTCATTGTTGTTGGCCGGCGCAGGCTCCAATCAACCGGTCGGTCTGCACATCAAATCCGAACTCACTATCTACCTCAAATACAACCAGTTACTTCAGGCTAATATTGAAGATACCAGGCTTGATGGTCTCGAAGATCTTGATCAGATTGCTATCAAATTCAATAATTCTTGCTGCTTTGGCGTCCCGCCCCATACTTGGTTTCTTCCTGATCAATTGGCCAAGTTTTAAAGAGTTTGTAATACTCATCTTTGATCCAATAATCTTAAGAAACTGACAACCAGGCCCCAATTACAAAATAAAAAAGGGAATCCTTCAACCTCATTTATCGCCTACCTAATTTGCTTCTTCACATCTGTATTACACCATCCGTCTTCCATTTTCAAATTTCTACTTGCTTTTGGGCCTGTGATATAAGGAGCCATTGTGATAACCAGACAGATATGTCTTGAGTTGTGTGATAATTGAACAAGTCTGTTCCAAGACAATGATAACCCTCTTCCCTTGAAACTCTACACATGATTTCCTTAGTCAATCCTTAGGTGAAGAGGTCTGGCGGGCAAGGAAGAAGTAAATTCTGTCTGACTCCAAGCAAACAAGAACAATGAAGATTCAAAGTTGTTGGGACACCGTCTATGTACTGGCCTGAACCAAATTCCTGCTGATCACCATCTCCGTTGTTGTTGCTTGTGGCTCTTGTGGACCGATTATCGTGCATTCAACGCGCTTTCCTTCCTATGATTCTTTCCTCTTTTCTATGTCATGGTTGGAGATAGTGATACATACCAAAAAACATGTATGATTCTCTTGTTTGTTCAAGTAGGCCTTTTACCAAATCCCTTGTTGCTCCTTGTCTACATGATGGACCCAATTGAATTGGGCATTCCATCATCTGAAACACTTAATGATTTCTTGTTTGTAACATGCAAAGTAATTAGCAAGAGATGTTGTACCTTGCAAAAGAAATAGAAGCCTGTAATCGTCTTTGAGTATCTCTTTCCTCATCAAAAACTCTTTGTGTTAATACCAATTCTCCTGCACAGGGGTCTGGCTGGCTGGAGTCGGAATTGGGGCGTCAACTCCCAAACAGCCGTGTGGTTTTGGAGGTTTGACTCCCAAACCCCCGATTTTTTTTTTTTTTTTTATTAGACCGTCGACTCCCAAAAAAGCCAACGGTTTTGGAGGATCAACTCCCAAACTTTTTGGGGAAAAAAATAGGGGATTTGAACGTCCCAGGACGGTTGGCAGACGGTCCTCAGGACGTCCTGGATGTTTGGGATTCAATCCTCCACTTTTTGGGAGTCAAATAGCTAAGACCCTTTTTATTTCCATGCCAATCTTATTTAAAAAAACAAACAGAAAAAAAGACAAATTCTCATTTTGCAGGCATAAATGCGCTTGAGCCTCTCTGCCAAATTTGAAAGAACAGCTGGCCGACATCCTCACCAAGTCTCTTACTAAGGAACCTTTTGAGTGCCTCCGTGGACATTTGCTGGGGAATACCAGTAGTTGCAACCATTCCTTTTAACCACTTTTTTGTGTCATTTTGATGTTGTTCCCTATTTTCTTTTTTTCTCTCTCTTTCTCTGTTTTTCTTTTTCTTTTTCTTTTTCTTTTTCTTTTTCTTTTTCTTTTTCTTTTTCTTTTTCTTTTTCTTTTTCTTTTTCTTTTTCTTTTTCTTTTTCTTTTTCTTTTTCTTTTTCTTTTTCTTTTTCTTTTTCTTTTTCTTTTTCTTTTTCTTTTTCTTTTTCTTTTTCTTTTTCTTTTTCTTTTTCTTTTTCTTTTTCTTTTTCTTTTTCTTTTTCTTTTTCTTTTTCTTTTTCTTTTTCTTTTTCTTTTTCTTTTTCTTTTTCTTTTTCCTTTTCCCTTTTTCTTTTTATTTTCACCATCTTATTTTGTACTTAGCTGTCTCTATGTGGAGTGTCTAGGTGAGGGGGGGGGGGTGTTGTAACCCCTTTTTGGGCTCACCATCCACTCACTAGACACTCTGACATGAGGCAGAGAGTTACATGATTTCTCATTGATTATTTGAAACAATTATCTCATTCCTCAACAGGGCTTCTCCCAAATCTTACAGTGACTCCTTTCAAGGGAACAATTTATGTGAAAGACAATATACAAGAAGCTTTCTCCCCAAGGGTGTGTCTGTAAGAAGGTTTGACTGCAGATATGTATTGATGCTGCCAAATGGGGCCTATAAACATGAACCCAAGATCCATGGGAAATCTCCCACCTTTGAATTAAAGAAGGAAAAGAAAGAAGGAGTAAGTGAGATTCATTCAAGCTAGAAGAGTAAATTGAGGATTAAAATAAGATCAAAGGAGAAAACTAGAAAAAACCTGCCTGGTGGATTCAGATCAAGGAAACCAGTTGTATGGAGAAAGGATTTATTTTTTCCCCTTTGTTTTGTTTTTCAAGCTTGTAAGTAATATGAATCATTAAGGACAACAAGAATGAAAGCAAAGAATAGGAGAGGAAAGGACAGGAAAAAAAGGAGAGGAAAAAAGGGAGAGGAAAAAAAAAGTATGTAGAAGTGTGCAGGATACATTGAATGAATAAAACCAGTAACTTGAAGAAAAAAAGATGAGGTCTTGCAAGGTATTCTATGATCCAAAGTAGCTTTACTAGAAGAAAGGAGAAGCATTAATTTTCGCCAAAGTTTAAACAACCTTTCAACAGATCGTCCAATTTTTTCTTCTGACTTTGGTCGATTTCGAGCGAGTTTAACTGAGCTTCGAGTTGATTCCACTTAGATTTTTCGACGAAGGTGAACTGACTGATCTGAGGGAGCTGATTAAGATTCGAAGGATTGCCGAAGAGATGCGAGCTAGAGGACGGTAGATGATGATGGTCGAGAGCTAGACTAGACGAAGAGGCCGAACTGGCGGGAAAGAGTTCGGAGAACTTGGAGCTGATGATGGTAGCTGCAGAAGTTGAGTTGGGCAAGCCTTGGATTTCGTCGGGGGCATACGAGATCACCGGGCTTCCGTTGACGCTCAGCAGACTCTCGTTCCGACGCGCCAATCGGACCGGCTTGTGTTCGGAGATGAGCGGTGTGGAGGGGAGTCTGGGATTGAGCTCGGTGGGCTCGAGCGACGCGTTGGACTGCTTCCGTCCGTGAGCTCCTCCTGTGTTCGAGCGCGAGGTCGGTGGCTTCGATCGGACCGGTGCGCGTCCATTATTTCCTCCGTTGGCCCGGGATGGCTCGTGTGGATCTAGCGAAAAATTCAGACGGGTCAGCAAATCCATCTGAAAGGATCCTCATCGGTCTCCTGCCGTACAACTACTCACCAACTGTTTGCTTGCTCGACTTGGATGAAACCGATCCGCTGTTATTGGTCAGTTGCCGTTGACTGTAAGAAACGAGGAAAATGGATGAGTGATCCAAGTATTCTAGTTACAATAAAATTCGATTGAATGATCCATACCGCTTCCGATGATGATCTTTCTCCTTCTCGTCCCAGATTTGATCTTGTTGACTCTGACTACGTTTGATGCCGATAGAGATAGTTTTCTGCTCGATGGCCAGCCGAGCGACGTGTTCCATGGTACGTCTCAAGACCCCTTGGTCGCGTTGATGGTAATCTAGTGCGGTGACATTCGCGATGCTCGGCGTGATTCGAGATAGTTCGAAGTCGAGTCTTCGTCTTAGGGCGGGTCTGAAGTGTGTTTGGATTCGATTCTTCAAGAGATTGGTCCGTGTCGAGGCTGGATCATTCAAAAGAAAAGATTAAAGTTTAGAATGAGGATTCGTTCAAGCTATCATCGTTTGACTCACTCTCGAGTAGATAGTTCTCCATGATTGCCTTGCATTGTTCATCACCCAGGGGGTCTTCTTCTTCCTCCTCTTCTTCCTCGCTTTCAGTTACGATCTCTTGTTCAGTCTCTTCTCCGTCTCCCTCTTCTTCTTCTTCTTCGACTTCCCCTTCTTCCTCTTCTTCTTCTTCTTCCCCTTCGCCTTCTTCTTCATCTTCTTCTTCCTGATCCTGTTCTGATTCTGATTCATCTTCTGATTCGGTGGTATGAGGGTCATCCTGAGGAGAAGGGGGTGGAGGGGTCTCCTTGGATGGGCTGGTGATCTGCATTGGAAACTTCTTGAGTAATCCGAATAGTCTTCCAGATAGCCCTTGACTGGGTGCTGCTGATGGGCTAGATGGTCCGGGTGGTGGTTGCTTGTTTGGTGAATTGGGTTGTTTGGTTTTCGTTTTCGTTTTCGTTTTTGGTTTGTGGTTGGCCATTGGGTAGTAGTTGGTTGATGTGTGTGTGTTGCAGTATTCGTGTTCAAGTGTTGTTGGTTGTTGGTTGGGTTGTTCCCGATGGAGAAGGATAGAGAGAGTGTTAGTATCAGATGCATACAGTGACTTAGATAAATACATACTCAGTCTACAACTGACAGACTTACACATACACAAGCTGACGAACCTTAATAAAAATGTGAATGTAACGATCCTCTGGAGAAACGATTATCGACAAGTCCAATGCTACAATGTCTTGAGTACACCGCAAGGAACTTTCCAATCGACCGATGGCTCTGAACTCGATCGATTAAATTCCAACTATTTATGTTGTACGTGCGAACACCGACTTATTCAGCCAGGGGGACCCGGGGAGAGGGAGGGAGCTTGGAGATCTATGCGCTCAAATTAATATATTCAACTCCTCTTGATAATCTGTCACACCCCGCCTAGTAATAACAAACTGCTGATCTGAATTCATTGCAGTTCAATGCGGGTCACTCATGCGGAAAACACCAATCTTTCCTGGGAAGTGACGAAGGCGGAGCCTGGTCACCGACTTCCATGGAGACGGCCGGCTAGCGACTAGCCTGGTTGGTCCTGAGCGCACCGACCTCACGAGGTGGCCAAAGCTCAGACCACCTCCTTGTCTCTGTCGGGGAAGAGAGTCTTAAGAGTCGAGCTCGCTGATATCCCCTCGACCTTCCCGCTCTCTTCGACAGATCACATAGCTAGCCGAGAGTCAGCTCCTCTCTTCTAGCCCTTCACTTCCCCACCCCTTTCTACCGCGTTACAGTAGTATTTTTCTCGCGATTCTCAAACCAAAGGTCTCACCTTAATCCAAGGTCGCTGTTGATAACTTTCCAGCCAAGGCTTCAGTGAATTGCTGTCGAAATCTTTCCAGACATTTGCTGTCGAAATCTTTCCAGACGATATTATCCTAGTCACTTCTCGCTGTTGAATCCTTCCAGCCGTAAATTTCCATAACTGTCGAAACCTTTCCAGTCAAAACTTTCCAACCGAGGCTCATCCTTTGCTGTGGTCCATTATCCAGCCGAGTCAATCAAGCGGAACTTACCCAGTAAGTCTCCAAGCAAATACTTCTTTTTGCAATCATTTACGATAAGCTGTTTACACTTCATTTCATATTGGGCCCAGGTTATGGACACCGTTAAGGCGACGAGATCTAAGACGAACGCACGCAAAGAACCTGAGTCTTTACCAGGAAATATTTCCAACCCTGCGCATCCCCCAAAAAGCCAGGAAGTCACGGGTATGAACCCTGCCATCGACCCACATGATAGTGACGAGGAAGGTTCAGTCGACCTGATTTCCAAGATTCCAGGTACGGAATAAATATTTCACATGATCACATCCTTCGCCGTAGCAGCTCATTACTCATCATGACTAAATGTCGTAGTCCTATCGACAGAGACGATTAAAGACGTCATCGTCAACACCTCCGTCCCGCCGGAAGAGGACTTGCCGGCAGAACGCGCAGCGGAACGTTCCCACGTATGGGCGAAGATGAAAGAAGCCCAAACCGCCAGAGATAACCTTTTAACAAAGATACTCCTAAAAGCATATAACGATTTAGAAGCAACAGCTGTCGATTCCCTACCAAAGATGACCAGATCACTATCAGCACTTCCAGTAATGACATGCACGTCAGAAGATTTGATGCCGAAGAAGACTCGAGCAATCGAAACAGAGACGGAACTCGAAGACAACTTAGTCTATGCTGTCGGCGCCGTTACCAGTCACCAAGACATAGGGTTTACACCATACTTCGATGAAAATATCAAGAAACTCAAAGCTCCTTTACCTCTGACCATATTCGACAGAGGTATGTGACTAAATAGTTTTCATGATTGTAATAAATCATCATTTAATCCTTACTAACTGGTTTGCAACGGGTTGTTTACAGAATGGCAGAAAAAGGCCCTAACCGCCCATCTAATGATGAAACCGTCGAAAAACTCTGACGATAAGGCGTATAGAGGCCTAGCGTACCACGATGAATGGACGCAATCCCACTCTTCCTGGACTAACAACCACAGATCATTTTACATAACCTTGAGGGATGTATATAACAAAGGGAAGTTTGCGGAAAAACTGCGAATTCACAAAGAGAATTGCGACGCAATATCCGACGTGTATGGGTTCATGACAGCTTTTCGGTACGACATGCAAATAAGAATGAACGCCTTTGCACACCGTTTACCATCGAAAGACGGTGCAGCCATACCTGACATCTCGGTTAAACAGTCCGTCGTGGTAGAACAATGTTACAGCATAGTACGTTCCTACGGCGAAGCTAGCTGGAAGGATAACTTGTACGCACCAGGGGCATCACACGCAAGCTACGATCCAGACACCGGTACGAAACGTCCAGAATTAACCAAATCAGTTTCTTACCCACTAAATCATCAACAACAAGGAGCTATTGCCTCCGGTCGCGGGAACCATCAAGAAAGGAGAAAGGAAAAGAGGTGGAACAACCAAAACCAAGGTTGGGGACCAAGCTACAATCATTATCAAAATCCCATGTATAATCAATTTCAACAACCTTTCATCAACGGATACACCAACTCTTTCCAAGATTCACCTAACCAACGCCAATACGCGAATCAAAGCAATTACAGTTATAACAATCAAGGCCAATCATCCAGCTCCGGTTACGGTTGGGCAAATCAAAATAATTCTTCTGGTTCCGGAGAGAACCGCAAACGCTTCAGAAGTAATGCGAGCGGTCCGGGTGATGGGGGAGGAAGAGGGACAGCAGGGAAAGATGGGGATTCTGGAGGAGGGAAACAGTAGGTTTCTATGACTTCCTTTGGTTTTTTTTTAAATTATTTCTACATGTTCCTATTTAGTTATAAACTGTCGTTTGCCGTGATCATTTCCCCAATTCGTAATAAAAATAATTAATTACAGATTGCTTTGGCCTACGCAAATAAGCTGCGAGATGAATTTAAGCGAGTGGCGTCTCGCCCTCATAAACGCAAAACTGTTGCCAGAACTGAGCCATGTCCTGACGGGGTTTGAGTTTGGGTTTGATCAAGGAATCCCCGTCCACAAACTAGGTGACCTAAAGTGGTATACGCCAGATAACCACTCTTCAGCAAGTGATTCAGCGGATAAGATACAGAAATCAATAAAAGAAGAGGTCGAGAACAAGCGAATGTTCGGACCTTTCTCACACGAAGAAGTCAGACAGAGATTCCCGTTTTTTAGGACTAGCCCACTAGGGTCGGTGGTGAACTCAGACGGAAAAATTCGGCCGATTAATAATCTGTCTTACCCTAGGAATGACGACAAAATCAGATCTGTGAACTCTTTCGTAAACAAACTAAATTTCTCCACGACTTGGGACGACTTCAAGACCGTCGCCTCATTTTTCAGGAACCGTACAGAGCCCCTTAAACTCGCTCTATTCGACTGGGCTAAAGCGTACCGACAAATCCCCACATTGATGTCACAATGGCCATACTTAATGGTAAAGGATCTGGATGGGGGACTTTATGTTGATACTCGGATAACCTTTGGTGGGGTCGCAGGCTGCGGCTCCTTTGGGATTCCCGCAGACGCTTGGAAGCGCATAATGGAGTATGAATTCGATGTGGTAAAAATTTTTAGGTGGGTCGACGACAATTTGTTCATCAAGACCGTCGATTCCGCATGCGTGATGGAGAATATCACAGAGAGGTCGGTCAAGTTAGGCGTCGCCACTAGCATGGGAAAATGCTCGGAATTTGCCGATGAACAAAAATTTATAGGATTTATCTGGAACGGGGTCAACAAAACAGTAAGGTTGCCAGATAAGAAGCTATCGGAAAGAAAATCTCAAATTGAAGTTTTCCTGGTAGGAGACACCGAATTCACATTTAATCAAGCTCAAGTCCTAGCAGGCCGTCTGAACCATGTCGCCTTCATCCTGCCTCAACTAAGATGCTATATTCGGAGCGTCTACAGGTGGATGAATCAGTGGAAGAAACAGTGGGCGACAAGGAAGATACCAGAAGACGTAAAGACGGATTTAGAATTCTGGTTATCCACACTTCAAAATTACGAGACAACCCGGCTGTGCCCCGTCCCTGATCCATTAGAAATTCATTGGGTCGGCGACGCCTAGGCCAGTTTCGGAATAGGGGTCTTAGTAGGACGTAGATGGGTACAACTAAGACTGAAAGAAAACTGGCGCATATCGACTCCACCAAGGGGGATTGCTTGGCTCGAGACCGTCGCTATTCGAATCGGCATATTGATGTTACAAGAGATGCGTATCGCAACAAGAGGGTCCAACTTCATTGTATACACTGATAATACAACGACCGAGAGTGTACTGGCCTCGAGGAAGTCAAAAGACCATCACTCGAATGAGGAATGGAAGAAGATCCAAGGGTTGCTGATTGAGTCGGAAATGGACTTGACCCCTTTGAGGGTGATATCCGCAGAAAACGCGGCTGATGGCCTATCGAGAGGCATACAGCGGCCACATGTATCAGTAGACCGGGTCTGGATAAACATACCTGGGGACCTGCAAGACTTCATATTCCACGCCTGAAGGCGTTCTTAAGACGTCTGAGAAAATTGTTTTCCGTCATTTGTCTAGCCTTTATTTTACTTTTTAAACTGTTCCTTTGCAAAGAAATCATCGTTTTGCTTGCGTATCCATCCTATACTCCAATGTTGACGAGTTCCGCAAACGTCATTAATTTTAACAAAATCGACTTATTCTTGCGTAATGGCACCGAAGATAGACCACCGACAAAGGCAGACATTCACATACTGACCGCTTGGAAATCCTCGACTCTGGTAGGCTACTCCAGCGCTGTCTCGAAGTTTATTCGATTCCAAAAAAGCGAAGGCGTGCTGTCCTTCAGGTTACCCATCACAGAGGCGATGCTCGAAGGGTTCTGCATTTGGGCAGGGCGAAACACGGTCACCGCTAACGAAGGGAAAATATCTTCGCTATCGCTACGCAAGTATGTCGCAGGCTTGAAAGCCTGGCACGTTTATCACAACACCACTTTCCCAACGGGGAACCATGCCCGGGTGGAACTAATCTTGAAAGCCTCCAGCAAGGAAGACGAAACGGCAACAAAGAAACCTCCCAAATGCCCGATGATGTTCTGGCACATGCAACATTTGTGGACGAATCTATGGCACGGGGACGATTTCGACAAAGCTCTGTTAGACATGGCAGTGGTTGCCTTCTGGGGCCTAGCCAGGCTTGCGGAACTGACGTACACGTCAGAGACAGGCGTTTTAAGCTTTGCCGACTCTGTATTGACCTCAGACGTTACGTTCAAGACGGACGCGTTGTTTGGCGAAACGGTCACCCTGACACTACGGAATACGAAAACAGGGGTGCCCGGCTGCCCCCAGTTAATTACGCTGGCAGAGCAGAAACACGTTCTATGCCCGGTACTGGCCATCAAACGACGTTTATCTTCGGCTGAGGGCGCCAGGACCTCGCTGTTTGGGTACGGGCGGGGAGACGGAAGACGGCACCTGACTAGGAACCGTTCGGTTGCCCGGTTGGAGGCCGTCCTAGAAGCCGGTGGTTACACAGGCCTCAAGGGACACTCGTTCAGGGTTGGGGGCGCATCTTTTCGCGCTGCTTTTGGGATGTCTCCGTCGGACATCTGCCTTCTAGGCAGATGGAAATCCGACTGCTATAAACTTTACCTCCGCTCTTATTCCTCAAGCGATTTGAAGAGGACGAAAGACCTGGTGCGACGTTTCAAGAATAGCTGGACACGGATGGAGTCCTAGGCTTCTGTAGGAAGTATGTTTGTAGTGTTCCTGTGGGAAGATGGGGGTTTTTCTCTATACACAGATCAAGGCTCCCCAAGGAAACCTAGATTTTGGGTTTAGTGTTAGAGAACACCCTACCCACTTGCACGTAATACAAACCATTTATACTACCTTGTCTGACCAGAGGGGAGGCTCTTTGGCCCAACAAGCCACGCCCTCCCTATCTCTCTCCCATACGCGCTCAAACTCAAGTTCCCCCGCAGCAAGCGCGGAGCTTGGTTTGGGCGAGTGTCGGATAGGCTAGTAAGAATGGATGGGAAGTGACGAAGGCGGAGCCTGGTCACCGACTTCCATGGAGACGGCCGGCTAGCGACTAGCCTGGTTGGTCCTGAGCGCACCGACCTCACGAGGTGGCCAAAGCTCAGACCACCTCCTTGTCTCTGTCGGGGAAGAGAGTCTTAAGAGTCGAGCTCGCTGATATCCCCTCGACCTTCCCGCTCTCTTCGACAGATCACATAGCTAGCCGAGAGTCAGCTCCTCTCTTCTAGCCCTTCACTTCCCCACCCCTTTCTACCGCGTTACAGTAGTATTTTTCTCGCGACCTCCCACCCACCCCTTGCGCTGTTCTGGGGGGGCTTGTATTGTTAGCAGGCTTAGGGTTTAGTGTTAGAGAACACCCTACCCACTTGCACGTAATACAAACCATTTATACTACCTTGTCTGACCAGAGGGGAGGCTCTTTGGCCCAACAAGCCACGCCCTCCCTATCTCTCTCCCATACGCGCTCAAACTCAAGTTCCCCCGCAGCAAGCGCGGAGCTTGGTTTGGGCGAGTGTCGGATAGGCTAGTAAGAATGGATCACCGCAACATTTCTATCCTCATCAGTATCCAGTCGTTGCCGCCTCAGGAGACGTGGGCTATCCATAGCAAAACAACTTGGAGGGACCTTAGCTTGACGGGCAGGTTAGAGTGGGCCCTCTTATATCGGCTCTATATAAGTGAGTGATAAGATAAGCAAATAAAGATGGCCAAGCCATGCTGAGGGTAAAAACTGGTTTGGTATTTCAAGTCTACAGAAGCTTTTTAGCCTGTTGGCATTACATGATCATTCAAACAGAAGCCAAACGGCCTTCACTTTTTTTTTCAGTATGGGGTTGTATCTGAGCATATCGATTTGAGCGCGATTTGTTAAGCTTTGGCGAAGAAGCGGGGCAAGCTTAACAGGAGGAAGCCTCCTTGAATCGCTTTTCAGCTTCAGCAAAATTCATGACTTTCCAGATGTTGGTCAAATAGTCGGCCTTTCGGTTTTGGTGCTGCAAGTAAAAGGCATGCTCCCTGGGGTTACATGGGCGAAACGAGATGAGTCAAATTGACTCGTGGGTCTCATCGAAACAAATAAGAGAGGGAAGGAAACATACCACATGTCGATACCAAGTATGGGGATTTGCGGGGTCAATGGGTCTTGGTTACCAGTGTTGATGATCACCAACTTCTTCATCTTGGTATCATATCCCTACAATGATCCAAAAAAAAACAGACTACTTAAAACTTATTCAATAGCAAGTTGGAACACGACTTACGAGCCAAGCCCAACCAGAGCCTTGGATGCTCATAGCAGAAGCATTCATCGACGATTTCAACTGCTCCAAGCCACCAAAGTCTTGTTGAACCGCCTTGGAAAAGGAACCTGTACAATACAACAAGAGACGAAGTAAGTATGATTTTGGTGGGACAAAAAGAAGCCAAGACTTGACTGACCGTCGCTCATCTTACCACCTCCCGATTTCTCTGGCTGGAGGTTCTTCCAGAAGAGCGAATGCTGACAATCATTGAAACATCATAGAGAAAACCTGGATTAATTTAAACTAGGCAAGAGTGAGCTCCAAAGCGGCTTACGTTAAGATGACCACCGCCGTTGAATTTGATGGCAGCTTGCAACTCGATCTGTTTCTTGACATCACCGGCCTTCAACGCATTTCCAATGGACTCTTCCGCGGCATTGAGTCCGTTGACATAGCTGCGATTTTCGGAGAGAAAGATGATGTTAAAATTGAGCGGTCAAGAGGATGAGGTCGAGGAGGATAGAAGCAACTTACGCGGCATGATGTTTGGAGTGGTGTAACTCCATGATCTCCTTGGAGATCGCCGGCTCTAGTGCCTATCGATCCCTCACACCAAAAATCAGTTCAAATGTAAAAATCGATCAAACAAAAATGAGAATCATAACCCACATCGTAAGAGTATGGGAGGTCTGGCAGAGTGTGATTTCCCCTGTTTGAATCACGAGTCCATCCCGAGAGACGATTCAAGGAATGGGTGGCAACGGTTCCACGTCGAAGAGTTAATGACGAGCCCGTTCGAAGGGATCGAGTGAGAACCGAACCGATCATTTCGATATGTTTTTTGCAGGGTCACAGAAAGGGAGGATGTGGGATGGTTGCGGTTAGCTTTGATAATTATAGTGGCATTGAAAACGTAAGTTGAGGCAAGAGACTTTGAGTCAGGATGGTGTTACATATTATGATATCAAATCTCGAGGGGTTTCTTCACCCTCAGCTTGGTAGAATGAGGATTAAGATGCGGATTTTTGAATGAGGAACTTACATCTTAAGAGTTCCGATTGATGTAGATAGTTGACTGGTGAGCTGTAGTGTTGACTTGGAAGAGGTTGAAGAGACCTAATGGGCAGATGGAGGCTGGAGGAAACTGGGTGGGCTTTATAGCTACACCGGTATCCGATCCACAGCCGAGCTCTTCCAGGGCCGGATCCCGATCATCGATGACGTCACTCATCACCCCCCACCACTTCTCCTCTCAGAATCATCAAAAACAGCTAAAATTCACTTGTATCGTCTGGTCATCTCGACTGCTGAGAGGCGCATACTTCCCATAGAGGCTCTGGCCCCATAACTTCAATTCTCGAATTTCCATGTAAGACACTTGCAAGAAAACATAAATTTTGAAAATACTGAAAACGAACTAAACAAACCTCAACTTCTCCAAGTGTCATGTGTTATGCCATTTAGGAAAGAATAAAGCTTGGTGGAAAAATTAAATTGGTCATTACTGATGACCACTAGAGTCATCACACAGAGTAATAAAAAAAATAAAAAATCAGTTCTTCAATCAGAAATTCTTTGAGAGAATCCCTAAGCCTCTCAAAACTGGGAGGGTAGTCCGATTCTGTGCTTGATCTTCCAATTTCTCGGGATTTGGATGCCCTGCAGCTTAGACTGTTTGCTGTTTTCCCAATCTCAAGACAGAAGCACAACTCAGGGGGAGAATTGTGAGCTGCACATTCTTCTGGTGATTTCTGTTTTTCATACTGCTATACTGCTCATTTAATATTTCTATGTTGTCTTTTTTGTGTTGATTTTTTCTTCATGTTTTCAGTCGAGATTATCGCATATATCGTCATTGTCTGGACATCATTCTTGAAAAATGTGTCCGGTCTATCAATCCTTCTTATTTGTTAGGCAAACGCGTCATTGATTCTTTTCCCGCTTCCTGTTCCATTTGTTGATATGACTGCTATTGGTATTTGCTTATAGTGTTGACTGCCATTATGATTGGTCTCATCATCTGGTAACAAAACGAAATATTCCATACCAGCAAAGTGCTACAACGATAAGGCAACTAAGCATAATAGCCGAACCCTTCAGAACCTTACAGTCCTTATCTGGTTTGGCCTCGATCTGCTGGGATTCCACGCGGCTTCCATCTTGCAAAGCTCTAACAGAGTTGTCATTGGGCCAGACTAGGCCCCGACTCCTTTCTCCTGCACTCTGAGGCTCTTTTGGGCTCGCAGCATTGTCGATGGTGATCCTGTGTTCGTCTGACTCCTACAAGGGTAGTAAGTCTAACCGTTAGCCCGTCGGAACTGTCTAGTAGTTCTTGCTCTTTGGATGTTGAGGTTTGCTCACTTGTTGATTGATGGCATGTCTGTTAGTCTGGGAAGGAGTATGAACCACGTTAAAGGAAGCCGGGAGTTGTTGAGAGTCGAGGCCAGGATCACTCGAAAGAAGTCCGGGTGAACATTGATGCAAGGATTGGGCGGACCGCTCCTTCACAAGTATCCTGCTGAGTTCTTGATTGGATTCCATCCCGTGATTCAGCCGCACCAGCTAAGTAGTTAAGGTGAAAGAAGCAAGCGCAATCAGTTTTGTTTCCTTCAACTTTTCCCCCTTTCCTCCTACGGATAACTATGAAAATGAGAAAATAAGTCTCTAACCATCGTGAGCAGCAGCCAAAAACCTATTGGAATCCATTGTAAATTTTCCCTAAGGTACAAAAAACATCAAGATGTTAGATATGTTTCAAAACGGGAGGAGGCTAATTGACAGTCCGAAGTCGATTAATACATTCTTATCTCTCCAAGAAAGTTACTTCACTCAGGGAGAAGGTGACTAAAAACTGGCGCTTGTTTGCTATGAGTTAGTTGGTAAGTGGAGATGACTCCAGGATTTCGTTGAGAGACAGGCATATTTATTGTACATGTGACTCCCACTTGCTACAATGCCACAAGTGATTGCTTCCCCAACTTGCTATGCCACAAGCCATTGCCTCCCAAACTTTGTATGCCAAGCCATTGCCTCAAGGAGAGGGGCAGCGAAACCGAGAGCCTTGCGCTGGAGCTGTAGACCGGGGTGAGTGTGAGATGCATGGTACATATGTAGAGAAGAGTCAGAAGCTTCGATGCTTTCAAGCTTCCCCAAGCAGCTCTCAAACCAGTCTCTGGTTTATGATCATAGTCATACCGTGTACATACACACACTTTCACTTTCTGGAAATTTGAATTCCAAGCTCATCCTGTTTCATTCTTTTTTCTCCTGGGCAATCTCATGAAGACCTATCGAGCAATAATCAACTGTGACAACTGTGACAAACTGTGGCAAGAAAAGCGGGTATTCATATTAAGAGCCTGTACCACAGCCGCCGATTTCACCAATGTCCAGGTCAATTTCCAATTTGCAACTCGGAAATTGAATCTGACCAAAATGGTGTACAGTGGGTAGACAGTGAAAAGTGGCTGCTTATATTGGATTCCAGAGCTCCCGACTTAAAGTTATGAGACTTGTTGAGGTGGTGCATAATAGGTCCCAGAAAATGAATATGAAAAAATAAAAACAAAAAGTAAAGTTTCAAAATTTATGAAAAATCAAAAAATAAAACTGATTTTTTTCAAAAGCTTTGATATTCATTTTGGGGGAGTGGGAGTGCTGAGAGAAAGAAAGAGTGGAACATGGAAAGAATGATTATAAATGAAAAAAATTGAAACCAAAAAAGGTTTAGCCAGGTTGGTTGTCCATATTGGAGCCAAAAGAGTAAATTCTAGTGCTTTACTGCAATGTGGGCTGGTGAATGCCCC